TTTTTTTTTTTTTTTTTTTTTTTTTTCAGAGATGAGGTTTTGCCATGTTGCCCAGGCTGGTCTGGAACTCCTGGGTTCAAACGATCTGCCAAAGTCACTTTGGCCTCCCAAAGTGCTGGGATTACAATCCCAGGCATGAGCCACTGCACCTGGCTACAATTTTAAAATTTTCTTATAGAGATCGCGTCGTCCTATGCTGCCCAGGCTGGGCTCAAACTCATGGGCTCAAGAGATCCTCCTGCCTCAACCTCCTGAAATGCTGGTATTACAGGTGTGAGCCACCATCCCTCCCCCTGCCCACCCCGCCCTGGGTTTAGCCAGAGAAAAGAACTTGGGATGAGGGGAGAAGAAATAGGGAAAGAGAAATGGGAAAATGGGGGAGAAAAGGAGATGAGTAAAGAGAGATAAGAAAAGGACTGGCTAAATTTGAAAAAAATCACAGCGGGTCAGTGCTGGAAACAAGAACATTTGGCTTAGATTCTGTTTAAATTACGAAGAAATGGAGACCCAAGGAAGGAAATGTCTCCTGGAGAATTACCTAGGAACTTAGTAACTGAAAAGGATCTGGACCTGCACTGTTGAATATGGTAGCCTCCAGCCATACGTGGCTATGGAGCACTTGAAATGTGGCTAGTCTGAATTGAGATTTGCTGTTAAGTGTAAAATACACATCAGATTTCAAATATTCTGCATAAAAAATGTAAAATATCTCATCAATAATTTTTCATATTGACTACATGTTGAAATGATTTGTATATATTTAATAATACAATAAAATATTAAAATTAATTTTACCTTTTTAACTCTAAAAAATGTGGTTACTAAAAAATTTTAAACAACATATATGGCTCACATTTGTGGCTTGCACTAGATTTCTACTGGACAGCGCTGGACTAGACATCTTCTGACCTTGAGCTAAGTGTCTCTGCTGTTTCCCAGAGTCTCTTCCAGCAAGTCATTTACCACCTACCATGTGCCAGCTGATGAGAAGAGATTCAGTTGCAGTCTAAGGATGAGACTAAAACAGGGATAACACGTGCTGATAGGCAATATATCAGTGATTCTATCTCATATACTCCTAGAATGGTATATATATAAGATATTCATACAAGATATTCTTGAGTGGTTCTTAACTTTACCAGCCCCAATGTTCCATTTTAATAACATTTTTACAACTCCCCATTTACTATTTTGAAATGAAGTTTATAGATGGTATAGCCTAACTACATACATAATTTCAAAAAAATTATAGTGTCTGAATCAAAGCAGAAAGAAGAAATAAAGGAAATCCTTTATAATAAGATAATACTTTTATTTCAGTATGCTAGAAAGCATAATTAGTCAGATGCTTGTATTTATGCATAGGAGCACCTTGACTGTGGCAGTGCAAATGCAGACATGCAGACCTAACGCTGTGAATAACACTGCTATCAGTGACACAGTTCTCCAAAATGGTAACTCCGAATAAATTCCTGAACACAACAAAGTATAATCTTCCTTCTGTTAACATGGTGGTTACATTCCTTAAAAATTCAGCACATTTCACACCCCTACAAGATTACTTTGTTTTTGTATATAAGACACAGGCACATCAGATGATTATAACCAGTGTTTTCCTTTTTTTTTTCTGTTTTAACCTATATGAATGTTCAGTAGGACATGTGAAAGCTGTGCGGGATCAGGACAGTTTTCTTGTGTGATACTATCTTGCAATGTGCAAGACACGGAGCCTCCTTGGCTCCTCTCCCCCAGTCATTTGACAACAAAATTGCCCCATACATTTCCAAATTGCTCCTTAGGGACAGTGCCATTCTGGTTGGGGAACCACTGTGGTGGTCCGAATGCCCTACCTGTTCCCTGTTCCCCAGCCTTACTTTGGGCTGTTCTCCCCTCACCAGGCTCTAAGATGCCCTGGACCTTCCCAGTTCTTCTCCAAGCCAATCTCTTTCTTCTCTCAGGACGTTCCGGTGCTCTTTTCTTTGCCTGGAAAACTGTCCACTTCATGTCTGGATAACTCTTCCTGAACCTCTGGACCTCAGCATTACCAAATTCCCAATCTAATTTAATACTTTCTGTTTAGTTTTTCCACAGGACTCTGTGCTTTTCTGCAATGGTACTTATCACAGATTGGGATTTCTACCTGTTTTATTCTTGCTATGTCAAGTGTGTTTATTACCTGTCTCCCTCAACTTACAGTTCCCTGAGAGCAGGGACCATGCCCATCTCGTCCACCACTTGTTTACCCAGCACTCACGAAGATGCCCGGAACTTAGGTACGTGTCTGGCAAACAACAAACATTTCTTAGGCAACTGAAAGGCTGATGGGATTCCCCAGCCAATTGGGAGAAAAGCGCTCTCGAGGGTGGGGGTATGCTTTTTCCAGAACTGATAGGGTTCAGCCCAAGCTACGGGGCAGCTTTGGTCCACTCTGGATTTGCCTGGATTCGCCTATGTGGGGCCGCACGCGTCTTACTGAGGGGCTGCCGGCTGCGGCCAGGCAGCCAGTATCCTGGCTGAGGCTGCTATGCGCTGTGCGGTTAAGCCGTGGGAGCGACCATAGAGAGCGCGCGGGCGGAGCGAGCGGCCGGATGCGGTCACCATAGAGACGGGTGACTGACAGGCAGCGGAAGAGGAAGCTGCGGACAGGGGCTGTGAGGTGGCAGCGGCTGCAGCAGCGGAGCCGGCGCCTCAGCGGGAACTGGGGTCTGTTCCCCCTTCCCCGTCCCTGCTCCCTGCCAGGCGCGTGTGGGACGCCGCTCTTGGTCCCCACGTCTCCGCCCCGCCCCTTCCCTGGACGCCGGGAGCCCCTGGCCGTCCTTTATCCGGCGTCCGCCGGCCCCGGGCCCTGAAACCCGGGCCCCCTCCCCGAGGGCCTTGGGCATCCCTCCTGGTCCTGCGCTCGCTGCCTCGGTGCTGTCTCTGGCGCGGCCTCCGCTCCCGCCGACGGGCCCGAGAACGAGGTCTGTGCCCCAGTCTCCCAGCCGCGACCTCCGACCCCTACTCGCAGAACGACCTGAGCTGGACTCCCGAGCCCCCTTCCTAGCAGCCCGGTGACGTGGCCAGTTTCTGTTTTGAGACGAACGGCGAAGACTCGCGTTGGGCCTTCGTTCTAGGGCTAGATTTGGTCTCTGATCGCCGAGAGGTAGAGCAGGGGCTCTGGGACCCCGGCAGGGGTCCTGTGGGAAGCCGGCCGCGCTTCTCTTTGCGTTCCCAGGACCCTGGCGTTGTCTCTAGTTGCTGCTTGTCCTGTTTGCTTTTGGTTTGTTTCGTTTGCCCCCTGGGGCCTTGGTAAAACCAGGCACCGAATCGCTTGCACACAGTAGGAGTTCCAGTCCGTGCCTGCTGTCTCCTCAGCAGCTGGGGTTCCGAGGAGAATGCCCTGCAAGATGGCTCCATCGGCCATGGCGCTCCTGAGAGGCTGTCAGTGCTGAGTCACCGATGTACCTCATTCGGGTGGGCAGAACTTGTGTGTGCCATGCGAGTGGCTCCTGACCGCTTTCCTGTAGCCATTGCGTCTCCTCACACGCAGGGAGCAGAGTAGAAAGAGGCTCTGACCCCTTCCCTTGTGCCCGCCAGGCCTGCCGCAGTAGCCCGCCTGAGAACCGGTGCCAGAGGCATGCTCCGGCTCCTCTGTTTGAGGGCTGTTGTTTTGATGGATCGTGTGCTTTTCCCTAACCTCTTATCACTTGCTGTCATCTGTTGACTTAGGCCCAGTCTGCAGATGTGTGTAGTGCTCCTTTTTGGGTTAGCTTTGGCAGTATTGAGTTTTACTTCCTCCTCTTTCTAGTGGAAGACAGACCATAATCCCAGTGTGAGTGACTTTGATTGTTACATTTATTACCGTTTTGGCTGGGGGTTAGATCTGACACCTTCACCTTTGAAGAACAGGCAGAAGGAGTTGTGAAGACAGGACAATCTTCTTGGGGATGCTGGGCCTGGAAGCCCTCAGGCCTTGCTCTGTCATTGGCCTCACTGACCCCAGGTTCCCTGGTTAAAACTGCAAGCCTACTACTGGCCTGGTACCCATCAATCCATTGATCCTTGGGGCTGTGCCCCTGGGCACCCACCTGGCAGGGCCTACCACCATGCGGCTGAGCTCCCTGTTGGCCCTGCTGCGGCCAGCGCTTCCCCTCATCCTAGGGCTGTCTCTGGGGTGCAGCCTGAGCCTCCTGCGGGTTTCCTGGATCCAAGGGGAGGGAGAAGATCCCTGTGTCGAGGCTGTGGGGGAGCGAGGAGGGCCACAGAATCCAGATTCGAGAGCTCGGCTAGACCAAAGTGATGAAGACTTCAAACCCCGGATTGTCCCCTACTACAGGGACCCCAACAAGCCCTACAAGAAGGTGCTCAGGTGAGAGCAACATGTATGCATAGTCCCCAGACACTGGCCCTGTTTTGGGCTGGTGTAAATCCTTGCCGCTGCCTTTCCGCTGGCAATCGGCGTCAGGCAACTTGGAGCAATTCTGGCTTATTTTCCATCATGGTTTCTTCCTGTATTTTCCCTCCTTCTCAGGTCTTAGAAAGTCTCACATTCATTGGTGTTAAATTAGGGTTCAATGTTTTTTGTTTGTTTGTGTTTTTTTGTTTTGTTTTGAGATGGAATCTTGCTCTTGTCGCCCAGGCTGGAGTGCAATGGTGCAATATTGGCTCACTGCAACCTCTGTCTCCTGGGTTCAAGTGATTCCCCTGCCTCAGCCTCCCGAGTAGCCGGTATTACAGGCGCATACCACCATGCCCAGATAATTTTGTATTTTTAGTGGAGACGGAGTTTCTTCATGTTGGTCAGGCTGGTCTTGAACTCCTGACCTCAGGTGATCTGCCCGCCTTGGCCTCCCAAAGTGCTGGGATTACAGGCGTGAGCTACCGCGCCCGGCCAGGGTTCGATGTTCTTGAACAGAGTAGGAATTGCATCTAACCTATCTAGTCTATCCATAGTAGACACCCTCCCTTCCCAAATCAATTCCAATGTCAGCTACTTAGTGGATACTCAGTTGAGTACCTAATTAATATTGACAAGGAAGGAGGTTTCTCCCTTCTCAGCCTCAGCTCACTCACTTCTAGAGGGGGATGTATATACTGAATAAGCTGGGTTCCTAAAGATTAGGGAGTTGACCCTTGGCACACCGGTCTCTCCACAGGACTCGGTACATCCAGACAGAGCTGGGCTCCCGTGAGCGGTTGCTGGTGGCTGTTCTGACCTCCCGAGCTACACTGTCCACTTTGGCCGTGGCTGTGAACCGTACAGTGGCCCATCACTTCCCTCGGTTACTCTACTTCACTGGGCAGCGGGGGGCCCGGGCTCCAGCAGGGATGCAGGTGGTGTCTCATGGGGATGAGCGGCCCGCCTGGCTCATGTCAGAGACCCTGCGCCACCTTCACACACACTTTGGAGCCGACTACGACTGGTTCTTCATCATGCAGGATGACACATATGTGCAGGCCCCCCGCCTGGCAGCCCTTGCTGGCCACCTTAGCATCAACCAAGACCTGTACTTAGGCCGGGCGGAGGAGTTCATTGGCGCAGGCGAGCAGGCCCGGTACTGTCATGGGGGCTTTGGCTACCTGTTGTCACGGAGTCTCCTGCTTCGTCTGCGGCCACATCTGGATGGCTGCCGAGGTGACATTCTTAGTGCCCGTCCTGACGAGTGGCTTGGACGCTGCCTCATTGACTCTCTGGGCGTCGGCTGTGTCTCACAGCACCAGGTGACAGCTCTTTCAAGTCATTCCCGGTCTCTGATAAGCTAGTGGGGGATGAGTGATTAGCTTTCCTCCCAGCAGCACCTTGGAGGCCATTGTTCCTCCTTCCTGGCCACTGACCGCCCCCGTGGGCCCTCTGTTGCTCACCTTTGGCAATCTGAGAACCTGGGGCTATCAAAAGTGGTACCTTGTTAGGAACCCGTAAGCAAGACCAAAGGGTGCTCCTACTCACCAGTCCTTCTCCCCTGCCCCCCTGCCCTCCACACCTCTCCTGATATCAGCACTTCAGTTATGGCAATGTGGGCATGTCTTAGAGATGGCTACTCCCCAGAGAAGTGAGGTGATCACTTTTCCAGCTCAGAGAGCTGCCCTGTTTATTGTCCCGGAGAAGAGTGGAAGAACCCAGAGGTGGCTCATCCTCTCAAACCAAAGTATTGGGAAGATTTTCTGGCTTACTTCTTTCATTCCCTTGAGGAACAATGGGAATCTTTGGGGGAAGAGAGCATCCTTATTACTTTTAATATGTTATTTGTGTGACGGCTCCTTGCAGAGCAGGGCTAGCCCATAGACAGTGCACTGAGAGTAGCCGAGAGTGTCCTTAGTTGCCTACTTACTTTCTACTTTCCAAAATGTGGGCAGTGAAAGAACTGGGGTTAAGCGAGGTGCTGGAAAGGGTGCCTCCTCTGTCCTCTGTTCTAACGCAGCAGTGCTAACAGACGTGAACACTGAGTATGGTTAAGGGTGGTTTGGGACTGGCAGCTCTTGTGTGTGTCATTGATTGGTCTGATTGTCCCTCTAGGGGCAGCAGTATCGCTCATTTGAACTGGCCAAAAATAGGGACCCTGAAAAGGAAGGGAGCTCGGCTTTCCTGAGTGCCTTCGCCGTGCACCCTGTCTCCGAAGGTACCCTCATGTACCGGCTCCACAAACGCTTCAGCGCTCTGGAGTTGGAGCGGGCTTACAGTGAAATAGAACAACTGCAGGTGAGCTGAAGAGGAGCAGGTGGGCAGAGGACTGCAGTCAGAGGGTCAGAGAGAGCCTGAGATGTCCAGGCGTACAATGAGCGAGCAGCTGGCAGTGGGGCTGGTCTAGGCCCTGTATAATGGCAGGGCAGGAAGAGGCTGACCATACTTACATTTAAAACAACTACAGGGACTAAGGTCTTTGGGGGTCCAAAGCAATCATAAGGTAAGCTCCCAGGACAACTTGAATGCAGCTAAAGGGGTTTGCAAGTAGACTCTGAGGATCAGGAAGCTCCGCACAGTGTTCAGACAGAATAGTTTTAGCTCTTCCTCAATAGTGCCTGTCCACTGGGGAGGCAAAAACTGAAGTTTCTTAACTTCTAGAACTGTCCCAAGAAAGCCCAAGGGTGGAAGGTAGAATTCTCAAGTTGAATGTCGGGGTTGGCAGAGGTGGAGTATAGATGAAAACAAGGGTGTGATTATGAAGAAGATGTGAGTCCTTTGGGTATGGGAGAGAAAGGCTATTGAGCTTCTATTTCAAGATATTTTTACCTGTGCAAAAAGCACATTTTCCACCTCCTTCTCATGGCATTTGTGTAAGGCGAGTAGGATTCCTATCTGTTTGCATTTTAGAGGTGAAGAATAATGTACAAGGGATTCAGTGATTAGCGAGGGACCCGTCACTAAGTGTTGATGGAGTTGGGACAGAGCTCAGCTGTTTGAATCTTACAGCCCAGGCAGCTGGAGCTGGCACTAACTTGAGGCGCATTCCCTCCAACCCAGGCTCAGATCCGGAACCTGACCGTGCTGACCCCCGAAGGGGAGGCAGGGCTGAGCTGGCCCGTTGGGCTCCCTGCTCCTTTCATACCGCACTCTCGCTTTGAGGTGCTGGGCTGGGACTACTTCACAGAGCAGCACACCTTCTCCTGTGCAGATGGGGCTCCCAAGTGTCCGCTGCAGGGGGCTAGCAGGGCGGACGTGGGTGATGCATTGGAGACTGCCTTGGAGCAGCTCAATCGGCGCTATCAGCCCCGCCTGCGCTTCCAGAAGCAGCGACTGCTCAACGGCTACCGGCGCTTCGACCCAGCACGGGGCATGGAGTACACCCTGGACCTGCTATTGGAATGTGTGACACAGCGTGGGCACCGGCGGGCCCTGGCTCGCAGGGTCAGCCTACTGCGGCCACTGAGCCGGGTGGAAATCCTACCTATGCCCTATGTCACTGAGGCGACCCGAGTGCAGCTGGTGCTGCCGCTCCTGGTGGCTGAAGCTGCTGCAGCCCCAGCTTTCCTCGAGGCCTTTGCAGCCAATGTCCTGGAGCCACGAGAACATGCGTTGCTCACTCTGTTGCTGGTCTACGGGCCACGAGAAGGTGGCCGTGGAGCTCCAGACCCATTTCTTGGGGTGAAGGCTGCAGCAGCTGAGTTAGAGCGACGGTACCCTGGGACGAGGCTGGCCTGGCTCGCCGTGCGAGCAGAGGCCCCTTCCCAGGTGCGACTCATGGACGTGGTCTCGAAGAAGCACCCTGTGGATACTCTCTTCTTCCTCACCACTGTGTGGACGAGGCCTGGGCCCGAAGTCCTCAACCGCTGTCGCATGAATGCCATCTCTGGCTGGCAGGCCTTCTTTCCAGTTCATTTCCAGGAGTTCAATCCCGCCCTGTCACCACAGAGATCACCCCCAGGGGCCCCGGGGGCTGGCCCTGACCCCCCCTCCCCTCCTGGTGCTGACCCCTCCCGGGGGGCTCCTATAGGGGGGAGATTTGACCGGCAGGCTTCTGCAGAGGGCTGTTTCTACAATGCTGACTACCTGGCGGCCCGAGCCCGGCTGGCAGGTGAACTGGCAGGCCAGGAAGAGGAGGAAGCCCTGGAGGGGCTGGAGGTGATGGATGTTTTCCTCCGGTTCTCAGGGCTCCACCTCTTTCGGGCCGTAGAGCCAGGGCTGGTGCAGAAGTTCTCCCTGCGGGACTGCAGCCCACGGCTCAGTGAGGAACTCTACCACCGCTGCCGCCTCAGCAACCTGGAGGGGCTAGGGGGCCGTGCCCAGCTGGCCATGGCTCTCTTTGAGCAGGAGCAGGCCAACAGCACTTAGCCTGCCTCAGGGCCCTAACCTCCTTACCTTTCCTTTGTCTGCCTCAGCCCCAGGAAGGGCAAGGCAAGATGGTGGACAGATAGAGAATTGTCACTGTATTTTTAAAATATGAAAATGTTATTAAACGTGTCTTCTGCCAAACTGTTTTTTAGGTCTAGGGAAAATTGAGTGAGGAGAATCCAAGGGAAGGGTATGGGGAGTTTGTCCAAAAGGACCCACTGTCTCCTCACCCTCTTCCCTCCCCCTTCCCTCCCCCTTCACCCCCCACCCTCCCCAGTTTCCAATGACCATGCGGCTGCTGTCAGATGAATGACTTTTAATCTAGCCCCGCACCCCAAGGTGGCAGAGGAGTGATGCTGGAGCCCAGGGCAAAGCACTGGGGCCCGGGGCACGGCCGGAAGTTCTGTCGTGCTGCTTATTTCTGGGCTCCTAGGTGTTGCGCACAACCAGCGACTGCTCCAGCTCCTGCCTGCGCTGCTGGATCTTTAGAGGAAGTGAGAACAGGAGCAGGTGTCAGTGTTCCTGGTGAGTGATCAGGACAACCCCCACCTACTGACACCGCCTGCCATGGAAGAGCATCTGGGAGCAGGGAGGGCCATTGCATGGTGAGGCGGTATGGTGAAGCTTTACTGTAGGGAGCTGTGAGGGCTGCCCACAAGCTGAACAGGGAGGTTTCTCTTGGAGTTGAGGAGGGGGAAGCCTTAGGGCAAGGGTCCCTCCATACCTTGCAGTAGAAGTAGCGACTGACAGCCTCCTGGGACCAGGGCTGGTGGTAGAACTCAGCCCGGCGCTCCTCTTCGGGGTTGCCGGCTACATCTGTCATCACCTGGGAGGGAGCGTGGGGTGAGCCCTGAGCCCCGAATCCCCTCACCTGCCCCTGGAGTACAACGTTTACTGTCTTTCCCGATGTGCTTGTCTTCCACTCCAGTACTCCCTGAGTCTCCCTCTTCACCTTGAGGTCCCGGCTCTGGGAGCGGAGCAGGTCTTGGACATAGCCTTTGGGGTCTCTGGAGAAGCTTAGCATGAAGTCCCTCTGGATCTTGAGCTGGTTTATGGACTCAATCGTCTCATGGATCTGCAGGTAGAAAGATAGATGCTTTCCACCTGGCTGTGGTGATGTGGGAGAGGAGGGAAAAGGAAGTGGGAGGGCAGGGGAGGCCTGTGAAGGACAACCCCTCAGAGCCCCTGATTCCTCTGAAGTCCCAGGGGCGGAGGGCATGGGCAGAACTAAACTTGGAATGAGGTTCAACTCCAAGCAGCATGGAAGGGCCATTTGTGCCCCATTGGCCCACAGTCTGGTCTCTCTTTTTTTTTTTTTTTTTTTTTTTAATTTTTTAATTTAACCCAGACTGCTCATCTGCAGCCACACCCTGGTCTCAGAAAAGTCTCCTCTGTCATCTCTGGGTTAATATCCCACTCCGGCTCTGGGCTTGGGCCCCACCTTACTGTCCAGAGCACTGATCTCCTGCTGGTTGGCCGTGGACAGGAGGAAGCTGCTCATCTGTCCCTTTAATGGCTCCTCTACCTCCACGTCAATGTCATAGCACGCCGTCTTCTTCTGGTCTGAAGGGTCCACGCTGCCAGGGAAGTCCAGCCCTTGGTGTCCACGATGCCCCCATACAGGCCCCAGGGCGCAGGGGCTGGGGCAGATCCAACAGGGAGGGAGGAGAGGGAGGGGCAGGGAAGGCAGGAACGAGATCATTCCCTGGTCTGAGAAGCAAGCTGGGGCCACCTCACCTGATGACATGGTTGATGACAATTGGGTCAGGGGGCAATAGCAGGGCTGTGAGGCGCTGGGGAATCTCAGAAAACTTCAGCCGAGGACAGTCAAAAATCTGAAGCAGGACAATTGGGGAGAGAGAGATCACTCTTCTTGAAGAGATCATCACGCAGTTGTAGATCCTTTTGTTCTAGAAAGGCTGCAAGAAGCTGAGAGGAAGTCTGATTCCTTAGTGCGCATGGGGATGGGATTGGGGTGGGCTGGTCTGGCAGTGGAGCCACCCATACGGCTGACAAGGTAGGGGGTGGGTCATTGTGGGGCAGGGGTTGAGAGTGCGGGCCCTGAGTCAGCCTGTGTATGTATCACTCCTGCCTCTGCCGCTTACTATGCAGCCTGGAGCAAGTTAACACCTCAGGGCTCATCTCTAGAGTGGGGATGGAAAGAATACCCATCTCCTAGGGCTGCCGTGGGAAGGCAGTGAACTAACACACATAAGGTGCTTGGAGCAGTGCCTGGCACATGGTAAGTGCCCAATAAATATCAACTGCTGTTTTAACTCCTCAGGTTTATCTGCTGTATTTATTTGTAAATGCATTAATAAGAATATTCTCTGTTTTGGTGGAATTTTGCTGAATCACTTTTGCAGCAATTTGATTTTCCTAACTGCCCAGGAGAGTAGATAGGACAGGTATTTTCACTCCACTTCAAAGATAAGGAAACAAGGTTCAGAATCGCTGAGTCACTTACCCAGAGTCCAGACTCAGGACTAGAACCTGGGGATCCTAACTCCAAGTGCCAAGAATATTACATTCCAGAAAGCGGTTGGCTTTGTAGGGTTTCCAGGTCTTCCTAACTTGGGGGGGGCTAACATGGATTGACTGCAGCACAGAGCTAATCCACAGTAGGGCCTGAACTAGAATCCTGGTCGGTCTCTTGGCTCCAAGACCATGACTGTGTACTGCTTCTGCTACTCAGGAATCTAGAAGGGAGGGGTGGTAGTTACCTTGGTAGAGGTACTTCCCCTGCTGGAGAACTCTGCCTGCTCCCCAGATCCCAGGGTTCAGGAGAGAGGTTACCTGCTGGAAATACTTGTCCCCATTGATGTATTCCTTGTCATGGGAGTCCTGCAGCCTGTTGGTCTTCACATACTGCCACAGGGCCTGGACGATGGCTGAGCGGCTCTGTGTGTGCAACCCCAGCAGCCGGGCTAGGCGGGGATCCAGTTTGAACTGGGGAGGCTGAGAAAAGGGGACCGTGAAAGTTAGAACAAAGGGAGAGAAAGGAAGGAGCCCAGGGCCAGGCCATTCAGGACTATGGGGATGTGTTGATTGAGGAAACATGCCCCTGGGGAAGGATAGGGTTGGGAGGGGAAGGAGGTCTCTCGAGATGCACCACTTTGGGACCTAGGCCTGCCCTGAGAGCCTTGTGTGGCGTGTATGGGGCAGCGTGGCAGGTGCAGACCTGGTAGTCCAGCATGAGGAGCAGCGTGCAGCGCACACTCAGATCCCCAGGCCGTTTCACCTGGAAGCCGTCCGTCTCCTGGGTCGTGGGTGTCCGGTGCCACTGTCCAGGAGAGAAGAGCTGTGTCTTCCAAAGGCCCATCTGGAGTGGTGGGGCCCAGGACTCTAGGGTGGTCCCTGACCCAAATCTGTGCTCGTTCTTCAGGGATTCTGGCCTGTGGGAGGGTGGCAATTGAAGGGCGGAGGGGCTCTTGGTCTTACCTCAACAAGGTGGTTGTCAGGACCATAAAGATCTTTGTCCAGCTCGATGACCAAACTCTTGAAGAAAGAAGAGAACTTCCGCTTCTGTTTGCTGGGCTGTGGGAGAGGAACAGGGACCATGGGGGCAGAACAGGGACAGGGTGGGAGAAGCAGAAGGAGGCCAAGTTGGCAGCAGACAGGGCAGTGGGCTTAGATGAAATCCTCTGCACCCGGAATGTCTCTAGGCCTGCCCCCACCTCCCCAGCCTGGGCTGACTCCCTAGCCCTTAGTGCAGACACTTTGTTCTGTTCTCAGTGCAGCCCGTGCCCACCCCAGGACACCTGGAGAGACCTGGGCCGGGACGTACATCATCCAGGAGCTTCCCCTCCACCCGTAGCTCCCAGGAGGCAATGCTGCCATCGGAGTCCTCAGCGTCAGGCTTCGCAGGGTTAAAAGTGTTGGAGATATAGAGACGCAGCTTCCGCTTTTGCTGTAGAAATAGAGTGTAGAACCGGGCAAATGCTGTGTGCTTCCACCCTGACTACCTTGCTTCCCCATCCTGGTCACGCGACTCAAGAGTCCCCTTCCTACCCCCGAACTAAGGCACCTTCATGGGCCTCTTCAGAGCCTCCTGGATGTCCACCCGCTTCCGCATGATGGTTTGATCCAGTTTCCTCTCAAATGCCAAGAGGTCCATGTAAGCCTGGGACTCGGGGACCAGCTCCCGAATCTGGAGGAGGAGGAGCAGGGCAGGAGTCAGAGGCTCGAGTCCAGGGTTGTACCATGGAATGTATGCATGTTGTGCAATCCTAGGGTGCAAAAGATGTCGGGGGAGCCATCCTACTTCTGGGCATGGAGCTTTGACAGTGGGAACAGGACCTCTCCCCAGGATGCTATTATCCAGCAGTAGGGGCCTTGCTGTGTAGGGATAACAATTGATTCTCCCTTTAGGAAGAGCCTTGTGTATCATCACGGGGAGGAGGTAGCAACTGTGGAACCCAGCAAAGCACTAGCCTTTAGTCTCCTCATCCTGTCATTTTCTATGCCCACTGGGCTTCCCCTGGGCCCCTGCAAAGTGCCTAGTAGGGGCTCAATCCCTGGGACAGTTGGACAGCAGTGCTTTCTTCTTTGCTGGCACATTGCTCAGCCCCCACACCTGTCCCAACTGTGCTGTCCCCCATATCCAGCTGGACCTGGGTCCCTTTAGGATGCTCAGGATCTCTGGCCACCTTCTATCCCCTTCATTCTGCCTGGCAGCTTTTGATCCCCTAGCTCTTGCCCACTTCTTGTCCCACAACTCTGTCTTAGTACCACTTGGATCCAGCCCCCTGACAGGCCCCTGTGTTCTGGCCCCAGTGGCTCTGCTGCTTCCCTCCACCTCACCCCCTCCCTCTGGCCTAGGGAGCCTCACTTATTAATGAGTTTTTTTAAACAAAAAGTGAAAGTGACTGTGACACTGAAGCTCTGCTTTTGAGGGGGGAGGGGAGGGCAGAGCAGCAAAGGGTAGGGGGTGGGCTGGGGGCTGCTGTGAAAGACACTCACCCTTTGAGGGAGGATTTTGTCAGCCATCTTCCTCCTCTTGGCACTGTACATTTTTTAAAGAAAAAACCAGGTTACCATGGCGACAGATCTGGGAGTAACGAGGCCACCTGCTAAATTATCCCGACATCTCCGCCCGCCTGGCTGGGGTTCCCACAGCCCGCTTGTCTGCCCGCCCAAGGGCTATGACGGTGGTGTGTGGAACTGGTGCTCTGTCCTCTCTAAGGACACAGGGGTGACCCGTCCATTCTCTGGCCTGGGAGCCCCCTTCTACCCTGCCACTTCCTTAGGGACAGAGAAATTTAGACTTAGGAGGGACTGGCGAGTGGAGGTGGTGCTGCCAAAAGATGGGAGCTGCAGAAGTGTTTGAGGAAAGGTGGGGATGAGGGAGGACAAAGGAGAGGGAAGCCGCCAGGTCTGAGGACCTTTTCTGGAAAGCAGGGGGTGCCCTGTCCAAAGGATTCTAAGCTCAGAGGGAGGGAGATAGACGACTTCCTTCCTATCCATGGAGCGGTAGGTGATGGTGTGAAGCTGGCGGGACTTGCATCCCTTCCAGGCACCCTGGGCTTGGAAGAGAATGCTGATGAGCAGGGGTACTCATGCCCTGGGACTACCTGGCAACAAGGTGAGGGACATGCTGCAGCCATAGGCGCCCAGAATGTGCATGGGTGTGACTTCAGGCTGAGGCCAAATTGACTAGGCCCAGGGTAGTAGCAGCTGGATGTGAGCTCTTTCTGACCCACTAGCTGCTGCTGACTAACCCAAAAACCCCCAGAAAAACCTTGGCGGGTCAAGAGATGAAAACGCAGCCTAGAGAATAGCTCCATACTGCCCCCGTGTGGTGTTCTCAACCACTACCCCCTCCCTATGCAGAAATCTAAGGCTAACAAGCAGATTTCATTAAAGGTCTGGTTTGTTTTAGACAGATTATCTATGTGTAACTCTCCATTTATACAAGATAAATCAGGGAATTACCGTTTGCTGTACAAAATGACGATGCACTTTACAAAATAATTCATCATGGGATTCCTATAAGTGGTGAATTTTCCCTGATGTGTAAAAAATACTTAATGAGGTAAAATTGATATTACACCTTTTATAGAAATCCATCTGTTGTGCAAAAAAAGCGTGTGTATTTGGCTAAATACTGAAATCCAGAGGGGCACTGCTGTTGCCAGGAGCCAGCAGGGGCTTTGAGGGTGCCACCAGCTGCTGGAGGAAAAATAAGGCAATGCGCTGGCCCTGGTGGCTTGGGAGCAGACCTGGTCCAGAGTGCCTAAGAATTAAGAGCGGAACTGGGCAGAGACCACCTACCACAGGGCAAATCCCCAAGCTCCACCCCCAGGGCCAGAGAGTCCCATTGAGAAAATCTGGAGTGGCTTTGAAACAGTCCGGGGTCTGGCAGGAAGGCTCAGCGGAGAACTACACTTTGGACAACACAGTCCTACAGCTCTGCCCTCAGTCCCACTGGAAGCCCCGCCCCCACCCCAAAGACTGAAGCATCACCCAGAACCTGATGGGTGGAGAGAGGGACTGAGCAGGTGACAAGGAGAAGGGTGAGGGGAGCGTGCAGGGAAGCGGTACCGGCTGCCGACGGCCACAGCCTGTCTCTACCGTGGGCACACAAAAGAATCAGGCCGGTGCCCCCTAAGCCCACCTCCCCAGAGGGCATCCGATCCGGGAAGCCTCGCTCCCCGCTAATCATTCTTCCTCACCTCTTCCAATCCCCGCTACTCTCTCACCTGGTCCCTGCGGGTCCCCAGGGCCCGCCCCTGCACGCCCCCTCCGCGCCGGGCCTCCCACTCACCTGCGGCTCCGCGCGGGGGCGGTGGGCACCGGCTGGCCCTGGCTCTGTGCCTGGCTCTGCCCGGGCGGGGGCGCTGCTCGCTTACGGGCGGGCTCCATGCCCGCGGGGGCCAGGCCGGGTCGCACGGCGGGGCTGCCCATGTAGGGGGAGCCCGGGGGGCCCATGGGCGCCCCCTGGTGGGGCATCCGGGCTCCAGACGGCATCCCGGGGCGCTGTGGGTGGGCGGGGGTGAAGCAGAAACGGGCGCCCGTGGGTCAGACCAGGGCCCCCAGCTCCAGGCGCGGTGAGCCGGCGTCTCCCCTCCCCCACCAGACCCTCGGCTGGTGACCCTGAGCGCTGAGCGATGGGTGGGAACGATGGGTAGGAGGGGCAGGGGCGCCGGAATACGCGCGGCTCTGGCGGAGGGGCTTGGCGTCTGGCTGTAGGAAGCTAACTGAAGCCAGGCACCGCACAGGGCATTGCGAGCCTCGGGGCTGCGGAAGGTACCGCAAAAATGAATATTAATGGCTCCTTTCAACCTTTCAAAGATGTTCACATCCACATGCTCCTCTACAAGACAGTCTGAGCAGGTCCTTTCATCCCCACTTGACGGATGGGGCCACTGTGGCTCAAGGAGAAAAACGACCTCGCCAAGGTCACACAGCTCATCCAGGCCCGGCCAGCCCCTGAAGGGCTGCCTCCTGGGGGCCCAGGGCTTTGCTCTCTGCAGCTTGGTTGAAGTCAGGTACCCGGCTCCCTGCTCCGACTTCTGCTCCTCCTCCTGCTCCTCCTTCTCAGGCTTCACTTCTTGGGCGGTTCTGCCTGGCACTCACTAGCTCCTCATCTCAGCCACTCTGCTCCCTGCTTTGACCCTTCTGTCCCAAACCCCACTCCCCTCGACTGACTCCAAGTCCCCACACCCAGGGTCTTCGCTGACCCAGGGTCTAAGCTGCCCTCCTAATTTGCTCCCAGGGTGAGGGCTGGAGGCAGGGCAGGCAAGGGCAGCCTGCGGGGGCACCCCAGACCCTGCCAGGATTCTCTGATTGGGAGGAGGGGAGCTGCGTTGGAGGTGGGCTGCCCAGGGGGCCTGAGGTGGGTCAGGGCAGTGACACTTCCACTCACATTTCCCTTCCTGTCTGCCCAGGTCAGCAGCCACCTCCTCCTCTTCCCATCCCCACCCCAGCAAGGTCAGCAGTCAGGGTTCAGGGGGCTGTGGAGACTGAGAGGAGGCGGCTCCTCCTCCCTTGCCACTACCCCTGGGTGGTCAGATGGGGTGTAAATGAGATGCAAATGCATCGAGCGAAGTGTTCCAAACCCCACTTGTCCAGACTCCAGAAGGGAGATGGGGAGGGCCAGAGAGAGTTTCAGGGGCTGTGAAACAGAACGAGTGGGGTGGGATGGGGACCGGGACCATGAGAGCAGGAAGAAGATCAGAGGGCAGGGGATGCAAACCCTGGCCCTGTTAACATGGACACACCACCCACCACATCCCCAGGCATGAGGAGGGGCCTCCTGGGCTTGCTGTTTTCCTTCCAACTGCTACCTCTCCCTCCTGGCCCTCCAGGCTCTGTGTCTAACCCTAATGTCCTCCCACCCTCGGTCAGCAGCTGTCTCTGCCTATCTCTCCTGCAGTGAAACCTGCCTGTCCATGTGTCTGCTTCCCTCACCCCACCTGACCCTGTCACTCACGCCTCCAGGGTAGCGGCCCAGAATGGAACCCAGGCCTGGCCACCAGCTAGATGGGGCACTGGGGCTCACAGTCACTCAATAACTGAAGCTCTAAGTTGACCAGATAAAAAAAAAAGTCCACGTGTGCAGCCTCTCCCCACTAGATGGGCCTTTTTAAAGGGGCTCCCACCAGCAGCCAGGTTAGGACTGGTAACTCAGCTAGCTGACATGGACACCTTGGGAAGTTACCCCCAGGGGTCCCTGAGGTTGGAGGATGGGCCACTCCAGGGAGGCCCCCTCTTCCTGTCAGCTGCTCTCCCCAGTTATCAAGGCCAGGGATACTGGCTCATCTGCTGAAGAGGCCCGGAGAGGGAGGCTTCCAGAGCCCCCAGAGAGCTGTGCCCACCTCCAGCCCCACCCCCATGAAAGGCCAAAATCCTAGGGACTCTGGTCTTACTGAGAAGGTGCCTTCCTTGGGGTCACAACCAAATTTGGCCATAGTAAACCTGACAGCTTCTTCTACACAGGGCCTCCACCCCCTCACCCATCTCAAGAGTCGCAGCCCCTGCCTCTCCCATTCCACACCCCTCCACACCCCTCCCAGCCAGGCCCTACTGACTCAGCTCCAGCCTCCCGGGCTCCCACGTGCCTTTGCAGCCTGCCTGTGGCAGGACAGTGCTCCCCTGTCCCTTCGGTCTCTAGGCCTCACATCCCCAACTCCAGCCCTTCCTTCACACCTTCGAGGAGTTAAGGACATCAGCTTCTGGTGGCTGAGTCCGCCAAGGGGACCCTCAGAACCCCTAACTTGGGCTAAGTCCCTAGAGCGGGCCTCTCCCCGACCCTGAGGCAGAAGCTCCAGAGCCCTCCCGCTGGGATGCAGAGGTGGCTCAGCCTGCGAGCTTCCCACTACAGTGCCTCCAGGTGTCACCTGCTCCTTGCTCCGGAGACACAAGCAGTGACACTGTCCCAACGGATGAACAGACAGCCCAGCCCAGCCTCTGCCATGTCCCCATCCCCCACCCCCACCCCCAGGGCAGGGGCAACACCTGGGCCCACAAGGAAAAGAACGAAAGTCAACCTGTCGGCTACAGCGAGGACTCCCCACTTGGGGGGGAGAGTCCCCAAGTCCCACCCCCGCCCCTGACAAGAGCCATGCAAACGCCTCCCTTCCCCGCCTCGCACCAGACCCGGCCGGCCGCCTGGCGACGTGTTCGGGTGCCAGGGCGCCAGCACAGTCCCGGAGCCGGGCCGTGGGCCATGGCGCCCCCCACTAGAGGGGTGGGAGAGCGGGAGTGCCCTCCCGGCCCCTCCCGATCAGCCCTCCATTCAGCCCGAGCCAGCTCGCTCGCCCTCCCCCTCTAACTTTCCCCCACTCACCACCCCATGGACCAGAAACTCAAAAAGTTTGCTTTTCGTGGCTTTGCGCGCCCCTCCGGCAACTTCGTCCGCGGCCATCGGGGTGGGCTCAGCGGCTCCTCTCACTCTCTCTCTCTCTTCCTCTTTCTTTCCCTTTTCTGCCTTTTTTTTTCCTCCAACTCTCCCCTCTGAGTCCTGCTGGGCTCTCTCACACTTCTACTCGAGCGGAGTGGGGAGGGGGCCCCTTCAGGGCTGCCCTGACGGCCCACGGCCCACGCCG